AGGATCAGGTAGCACACTGTCACAGTGGAGAGTGGTGGGCACTGGGTGTGTTCACACCCTGCCTGTAGACTTGAAGAAGGTGAATTTCAGAAGGTGCAGGGGAAAGTAAGAATGCTGTAAACAGAGATGGAAGAGGAGTGGAAAGATTTTAAAGGCAAAATTTGTCTGGGTGCAGTGGCTCACACTTGTAATCCCAGCACTTTAGAAGGCTGAGGAGGGAGGATTGATTGAGCCCAGAAATTTGAGACCAACCTGGACAACATAGCAAGACCTCATCTCTGCCAAAAAAAAAAAAAGTCAGCCAGGCATGGTGAATTGCGCTTAGTGTCCCAGTTACTCCAGAAGCTGAGGTGGAAGGATCACTTGAGCCAGGGAGGTTGAGGCTGCAGTGAGTTGTGATCATGCCACTGCACTGCAGCCTGAGTGACAGAGCAAGACCCTGTCTCAAGAAGAGATTAAAAAATAAAAGGCAAAATTCTAACTATAAATCACAAGTGAGCTCACTGAGGAAAAATATGGAGAGAAACTGAAATTTTAAGATAAAAGCTAATGTGGCTACCTAGAAAGTTCTGTAATATGTTCAAGAATGTTGAAGGAAGGTGGGCTAAGGTTCTCCTGGAGTAAGTGAGCTTACCTAGCCTAAGCAACAAAGAGAGTTTATTGGAAGGATCCTGGCATCAGAAGTGGCAGAAGCCAAGGAAGTGGGGGAAGGAACCTGAGCAGCTGTGGGTAGCGAGGGGCTTCCTGTGAGAGCACGTGTTGCCATGGCTTCATCCTCATGTCTCGTCTCTGCTCTTTGCTGTGTATCTGCAAGCAGCCTCTCTCCTTCCAGACACCATGATGGAAAACAAGGTCACCAAACAGCTCTTGGTTGGGGGTGGGGAGGTCACTAGCTCAGCAATTGTGAAAGTGAAGACCCTGTCCCAAATTCTTGGGAGGTAACTAACTGATCCAGTTTGGATGATGACTTTATTCCAGGACCAGCCAGCTGTGTCAGGGGATGGTGTTACATGTCTGAGTGTGCCCACAGCCAGCTACAGATGGAAGGAGGTAGCCGGAAGCGGGTGCACAGTTCTCAGAAGGGGGTTGGCTAAGCAGATAGTCTAGTAGATCCCATCCAAAGAAGCATATAAGCATAGACAAATATGGCTCCGATGAAAGGCTAAGACTCAGAATGTGCCGCTGGTTTGATGAAAGATGCTGACAGTGATGACAACAATGTGAAGCTGTGAAGAATAAGGGAAATATGGATCCATTGCTTGAGAGAGACTGAAATGTCAGCAAATGCCAAGAAGAAAGTACGAGTAAGCATTCCAAGTTCTTCATTCCACAAAATCTTTTCAAACTAGAAAAGATAGGACAGACAAGCCTAAGATGACATTCACTGCCTCTGTCTCACTTAAATGGAGCACCTCTGAAGCTAGTAAACACTTCAGTTGGCATTTATTCAAATCCATGCACTTCTACATCATCATAAATCTAAAATCAGTACTTAACCCGAAAAGATCAGATGTAGAATGATTTTAAGAAGATCTGTGGGGGATAGTACAAGTTTACAGTGATATGGCTGCCAAGAACCTCAAATGTACTCTAAAAAATATGTATGTATATATACACATAATGTCAAGATTTCGGGGAGGGGTGTGTGTGTGTAAATATGTAAATAAAATTTGGAAAATACAGAAAAGCACAAAGAAGAAAGCAAGTTATCCACATTACCCAAGGCACTGCTAACTTGTGCAAACATTTTGTCGAGTTCCCTCCCGGGGTCTTTCTCTCTGCTCGTGTGCTGGGTGGTCTCCTGGCTTTCAGCCCAGTGCTCTTTCCTCTCCTGTGCCCTTTCTACACCAGTGCTACCATGGTCTGGTCCACTGGCTGGCAGATCACCATTCCATAAAAGCCTCTACAAGTGCAGGTTCTGAGTCCCTACCCAGAACGACTGAAACAAATCTCTTGGAGCAGGGACCAGGAATCTGAGTTTTAACAAGGCTTAGGGATGACTGGGATGTAGATGGGAATTCAGGAAGTCCTAGCCTATGTCACTGCTACTCAGCTTGTGGTTTACTGTGTGAACTGTTAGTGGACCGTGGCAAGATAACACAGAAGCTGAAACTTAGGAATGTTTATATTAACCTGACATAACTGTGACACTCAAGCATGGGAGCCCTGAAAAAGAGTTTTGTTATATTTTACAAATATGTCAGTCCACAGTCAACTCCTTAAAAAAAAAAAGAGAAAGGGAAATTTATGATAGTTGGTGCTGTGGGGACAGATGAGGGGAAGAGCACATGAGACGTTATTTTCTTTATTTAAAAAGAATATCCAGATTGGGTGCAGTGACTCACATCTGTAATCCCAGCACTTTGGAAAGCTGAGATGGGAGGATCACTTGAGGCCAGGAGTTCAAGACCAGCCTGGACAACATAGTGATACCCCGTCCCTACAAAAAAAATTGCTAAATGCTTGGTCCCAGATACTTGGCAGGAGGATTGCTTGAGCCCAGGAATTCAAGGCTGCAGTGAACTGTGATTGTGCCACTGCACTCCAGCGTGGGCAACATAGTGAGGCCTGTCTAAAAAAAAAAAAAAAAAAAAAAAATCTAGAAGCACAAACAATCAAAAACTGGTTCTCAGGCCAGGTGTGGTGGCTCACACCTGTAATCCCAGCAGTTTGGGAGGCCAAGGTGGGTGGATCACTGGAGGCCAGGAGTTCTTGACCAGCTGGGCCAACATAGAAAAACCCCACCTCTACTAAAAGTACCAAAAAAATTAGCTGGGCATGGTTATGTGTGCCTGTAATCCCAGCTACTTAGGAGGCTGAGGCACAAGAATCACTTGAACCTAGGAGGAAGAGGTTGCGGTGAGCTGAGATGACACCATTGCATTCCAGCCTGAGCGATGGAGGCAGACTCTATAAAAATTTAAAAAGCAAAAAAACTGGTCCTTGACCACAGAGAGTTTGAGAAGCACTGATCTACACCATCTGTGTCTCTTTTTAGACAAACCTGCTTGTTTCAAACAGGAACCTACTATATCTGCAGCCACTTGCAAGGGTCACTTCTAAAATGGATGCTTGTTAACAAAATTTAACAGTGTGGAAGAATAAGCAGGAGCTAGACTTTGGTTTTTAGGAAAAAAGGGAGCCATGGAGGGTTTTTTAAAGCAGGGAAATGGCAAGATCAGATTTCCTTTCTGTAGAGAGTGGACAAGACTGGGCACAGGAGGCTGCATTGGGAAGCAGTTGCAGTTGTCCAGACAATGATGGTAGGTCAGAGCCGTGTTGGGGCAGATGAAGAAAAGTGGATAAATTCAAGAGGTGTGTTTTCTGTCCTCACTTTTGTTAAAAAAGAAACTTTCAAATACCTGTGAGGTGAAGAAGAGAATGTGTTTATTCCATGGCTTGGCTTTGTTTCCTGTGTATCTTAATACTGAGGGGTTTGTATCCTAACACTGATGGTTTCGCACAATAGTCAGCTTTCTGTGCTATTTATTTATGTAAAAGGATAGGTAAAGTGCTGCATGGCTTGTGTTTGCCCACAGTCTGCCAGCTGCCTGCCTTCACTCTCAATCAGCACCTAGTGCTCTAGGAGCTTGATGAGGAGGGGAGGAGGGTGTCACCCTGTGCCTTGTCCTTGTTTATGAGGACAAGGGCCTAGAGAGCACAGTTCCAATTTTAATTACTATCAAGAATCTGGCTACTGGCATTTCATCTTGGATCTTACAATCAAAGAACACAATGTTCATTATATTTCAGAAACCAAAAAATTAGAATATTTAATAGAATTTATTGAGAATATGATTTTTTCCAGAAATACATAGATATAAAAACAAAGCTTTTAATATTGCTTCCTACATATGATATGTACTTGCTTAAATCACTGATAATTTCTGGTAATTCAATTCAATGTGTATTTGTTGAGGAGGTGCTCAGTTTCTAGCATGGTTGATGCAGTGATTTCCAGACTCTGGACTTAACTGATCAGTAATGTTCTTTATAAAATTGGGGAGTCTAACCTAGGGTTGCCTTCTTTTTGTTTTATCAAGTAAGAATCTAGAACTGGATCAATAATTTCTATATCTACTATCACCATGAACTAAAAAAATTAACACCAAAGAGTGGGAAGTGGCCGAGGAAAGATTCTGTGTTATCTCCATCACTTTTTAATTTAATTTTTTTAGCCTGTGTCACCCACACTGGAGTGCAGTGGTGTGATCTCAGCTTACTGCAGTCTCAGTCTCCTGGGCTCTTCCGCTACTTTTATAAAAATTAGATTTACTGAGACATAATTTACACATGATAAACGGTCCATCTTAAGTGAGAAAGAAAAGTAGAAAGGACAAAAATCTTAGATTATGGAACAGTGATCAAAAAGGAACAAATTACGTTTTTGAAAAACTCATAATTCACATTTATTTTTCTCTTTTTGCCATGGGTTAGTGAAAGCATCATCAGGGACTGGTGCACAGGTAGAAGTTAGGAGCCACTATCCCAGGAGTGGCTTTAAAAGGGGAACTTTTTGGCCGGGAGAGATGGCTCACATCTGTAATCCCAGCACTTTGGGAGGCCAAGGCGGGCGGATCACAAGGTCAGGAGATCGATACCATCCTTGCTAACACAGTGAAACCCTGTCTCTACTGAAAATACAAAAAATCAGCCTGGTGTGGTGGCATGCACCTGTAATCCCAGCTACTCGGGTGGCTGAAGCAGGAGAATCGCTTGAACCCTGGAGGCAGAGGTTGCAATGATCTGAGATCCCTGCATTCCAGCCTGGGTGACAGAGTGAGACTCCATCTCAAAAAAAAAGGAGGGGGAGGAACCTTTCTAAATACAAAGAGCCTTAGAGATAGCCATTGAGGATCCATTGCCAGAGAATGGGAAGTGGTAGGCGAGGCACCCCTCAAGGGAGGGTGATTGACTGTAGAGTCAGGGGAGACCATTCTTGAGAACTCACTCCTTCCTTCATTACCTCCAGCCAATCTGCTTTTTTGTTTCCCATTTAGCCTATCAACTTATCACTGTGGTGATCGCAGCAGCGGGAGGTGGGCTCCTGCTCATCCTAGGCATCGCACTGATCGTTACCTGTTGCAGGTAAGTGATGAGAGCTCAGATTCCAATCCTGTTTCTTTGCCTGGACTATACAAGGATCAGTTTTTATTCTTTTACAGAATACTTGAGATGGTTCACAGTATTAAATCATAATGTGTGACTAACCCATTTTAAAAAAAGGAGAAAGGGAATTTACGATAGTTGATGCCTATGAGAAAAAAGAAGAAGAGTAAATGAAACTTTATTTTCTTTATAATAAAATAATAGCCAAAAGCACAAGCAGGAAAAGAAAAAAGAAATAAATTGGGCTTCATCAGAATTAAAAACTTTTGTACTCCAAAGGATACTATCAAAAAAGTGAATAGACTCCCATATTTGCAAATATGTATTACATGAGAAAATACTTGCAAATTATATGTCTAGTAAGGGACTTGTACTAGAATGTAGAAAGAACTCTTACAACAACCTAATTTTTAAAATGGACAAAAGCTTGAATAGACATTTCTTCAAAGAAGATACACAAATGGCCAGTAAGCATATTGTCTTAGTCCATTTGTGTTGCTGTAAAGGAATACCTGAGGCTGGGTGTATTACTGCATTTTCACACTGCTGATAAAGACATACCCGAGACTAGGCAGTCTGCAACAGAAAGAGGTTTAATGGACTTACAGTTCCATGTGGCTGGGGAAGCCTCACCATCATGGTGGAAAGCAAGGTGGAGCAAGTCACGTCTTACATGAATAGCAGCAGACGAAGAGAGAGCTTGTGCAGGGGAACCCCCCATAGAACCATCAGATCTCATGAGATTCATTTACTATCATGAGAATAGCATGTGAAAGACTCACCCCCATGGTTCAGCCACCTCCCACCAGCTCACTCCCACAACACATTGGAATTCAAGATGAGATTTGGGTGGGGACGTATCACTGGGTAATTTATAAAGAAAAAGTTTCATTTGGCTCATGATTCTGATGGCTGGAAAGCTTGAGATTGGGCATCAATATCTGATGAGGGCCTCAGGCTGCTTCCACTCCTGGGGGAAGATGAAGGGAGCCGCCTGATGAGAAAGGAAGCAAGAGGTAAGGGGCTGGAGGAGACATATCAGGCTCATCTTAACAACCAGCTCTCCCAGGAAAGGCATTAGTCCTTTCATGAGACATCTACCCTCATGGCCCAAACACTTCCCTGTAGGCCCCACCCCCAGCACCTCCACACTGAGGATTAAATTTCAGCATGAGACTGGGTGGGGACAAACCATATCCCAATCATAGCACATGCAAAAGGATAATCAACATTATTACTCACCTAGGACATGCAAATCAAAACCACCATGAAACACCACTTCACGCTTACTAAGATAACTATTAAAAACAAAACCCAGAAAATAGTGGCCCGGCACAGTGGCTCAGGCTGTAATCCCTACACTTTGGGAGGCCTAGGTGGGTAGATCACTTCAGGTCAGGAGTTCAAGACCAGCCTGGCCAACACAGTGAAACCCCATCTGTACCAAAAATTTAAAAAATTATCCAGGCATGGTGGTGCACACCTGTAATCTCAGCTACTTGGGAGGCTGAGAAGAGAATCACATGAACCCCGGAGGTGGAGGTTCTAGTGAGCCGAGATCATGCCACTGCACTCCAGCCTCTGAGCCAGACTCTGTCTCAGAAAAAGAAAACAAAACCAAAACACAGAAAATAGAAAGCATCATTGGTGAGGATGTGGAAAAATTAGAATCCCTGTGCACTGCTGGTGGGAATGTAAAATGGTGCAGCCGCTTTGAAAGAGTCTGAAAGTTAAAGACAGAGTTACCATTGGACCCAGCACTTCCACTCTTAGGTATATCAAAAGAAGTGAAAAGGTATACTCACTCAAAAACTTTACATTAGTGTTCACAGCAACATTATTCATAATAGCCAAAAGGTGAAAACTCTACCAGTTTGTCAATGGATAAACAAAATATGATCTATTTATACAATGGAATATTATTCATGCATAAAATGAATAAAGCACTGATACATGCTATAACATGGGTGAACCTTGAAAATACACTAAGTGAAACAAGCCAGTCCCAAAAGACCACGTATTGTGCGACTCTGTTTATATGACCTATCTGAAATAGGCAAATCTAATAGAGTTGGCAGTAGATTAATGGTTGTCTAGGGCTAGGCTGGTGGGGAAAAGGGGAGAATTGGAAGTTGGTGGCTGAGGGGTATGGGGTTTCTTCTTGGGATGATAAAACTGTTCTAAAATTGTGATGATGGTTGCACAAGTCTGAATATGCCAAAAACCATTAAATGAGTGAATTGCATAGTATGTGAACTGTTTTTCAGTAAAGCTACATACAGAGAGAAAGAGAAGCAGACAAAGAAAGAAAGATGAAATATTTTTGCAGTAGAGAGGTTGTAGCAGCAATGTAGGATGAGCGGTAAGCCTGGCTCTAGGCTTCCTGGAAGCCACTAAGATTGAGTTTCTACTGGAAAAGGTAGGGAAAGAAGGAAATTGATTCCCCTTCTCTGTGATGATCTATTCAGATAAGGGAAAATTATGACCTCTGACTCAGATGATGATAATGGCAGGAATTATCTAGATGTAACAGATGGGGGGAACCTCCCAAATTAGCCAGTTATCTTTTCTCCCGTTGACATGAAGGACATTTTAAGATATCCTCTGTCTCATAAAAGGTGGCAAAGAGTAATTTGCCTTAACTGCCCAACCAGGAATGCAGGCCTTATGATATAGCCTTTGCCTGTCATTTTCCAAATTGCCATCAAATCGTCAAAAGAAAAGCCATATGAGTGGAAATAAACTTCAGGGGATGAGATTACGCGTGGGTACCTAGAAGGACATGACCTGAGTGCTCAGGGGACAGAAGTCTCATATTTGCTGCATGTTCTGTACCGTGTGGTGTTCCCATTGGGGGAGGAGCCTGTGCCTGCTGGCTCTTGAGAAGAGAAGGTAGTTGTGCATGAGTATGTCATCATCTGAGCCTGGGTACCCACCCACCAGGAAGCAACACAGTGGCAGGTCTGTTCCCAACTTCCACAATGAGCCAGCGCCTAGCCACCTACTGGATATTTGCTTTTATGACCCTGAGTCACTTTATGCCTTCCCTAGAAAGCTTGTATATAGGTTAAGTGAAGTAGAAAAAAAAAACTTCAGATTATCCTCTGACAAATATAATTTAAAATTTCTGATCCTGGGCCCCTTAGAGAGGTGAAGAACACAGATTCCAACTATTCACAGTCAGTAAAATCTCATGAGTAGCGTTGCTCTAACCTGCTGAAATGAGAATTTGTATAGGTCTATAAATAGGTGGGCTTTTTCATAAACAAACCATTCTGTTTTTGTGACTTGCGAAATATTTGCTTTGTGTGATAGAAAGAGCACTGCCTGGGGAGTTGGGACGCCTGAATTCTAGTTCCAACCCTTCTAGTAGCAAAAGATGACCCAGGGGACAAGTCAGTTCTCTTTACTAAGCTGGAGCTGCACCATCCCATCCCTAGAGCTTCTGATTCAGTCAATCTGGGGGAGACCCAGACTCCCCATGTAAGTTTTGTTGCTTGGCAGCTCGGGATCCACTGGACTAGAATGAGTCTAAGGGCTCTTCTGGCTCCAGCATTCTGTGAATTTATGAGCCTTGTTTTCCTGGCCACCTCCATGACACAGTGATCTCTGTCCTTCAGAAGAATCTAAATCTGCTCTATTGCCTCTGTTTTTGTCCCCTCACCCCCTGATAATCTGGCCTTTTGAGATTGGAAGACTTCGTATCTTTTTTAACACTTAACTGCATATTTACTTGTTGTAGGCAAATACCAAATATCAATAATAATACCACTTCTCACTAGGCAGTAACAAAGAAATACAATGATAGCTTTCAGTTGAATTTACCTTATAAAATAATAGTTGGTGATTTCACAGATATCATTTCTTTAAAGAATTGAGCCTTACACATATTTTTGTTTCCCACAGAAAGAATAAAAATGACATAAGCAAACTCATCTTCAAAAGTGGAGATTTCCAAATGTCCCCATATGCTGAATACCCCAAAAATCCTCGCTCCCAAGAATGGGGCCGAGAAGCTATTGAAATGCATGAGAATGGAAGTACCAAAAACCTCCTTCAAATGACGGATGTGTACTACTCGGTGTGTATTCCTGTGTCGGGACAACCCCAGGGCCCCTGGTTCCTCTGAGAAGTAAAGGAATTCTGTTTTGTTGTAGTAAAAGCATTACAGTTAGTTAAGGGCATTACAAAGAGTAGTGGCATGAACCCCTGATTTACATATTTTACTATTCAGTTTACTCACAGTCTATTTGCATGGTACTTCTCAGAATTGCTGTTGAGGTATGAAGGATATTTCCATAGAACACATCATATTTATAATAACGTTCTTGCTATTAAACTTGCTTTTAAGTTAGAGGAATGGAAACTGAAAGGTAGAGCAAGAATTTAGTGATATTTAGCCTTGGGCCCTTTCATGTGAATCTCCTGTCTGCCATGCTTACCTTGTGTGGTTAGGTGCTTAAAACTAGGGGATTGGTGGCTGGGCACAGTGGCTCACACCTGTAATCTCAGCACATTGGGAGACCGAGGTGGGCAGATCTCATGAGTCCAGGAGTTTGAGAGCAGCCTGGGCAACATGGCAAAACCATGTTTTTACAGAAACTGTGCTCATCTCTACAAAAAATTAGCCTGGCGTGGTGGTGCACGCCTGTCGTTCCAGCTATTTGGGAGGCTGAGGTGGTAAGATTGCTTAAGTCTGGGAGCAATCTTTTTTTTTTTTTTTTTTTTTTTTTTTTGAGACGGAGTTATGCTCTTGTTACCCAGTCTGGAGTGCAATGGCGCGATCTCGGCTCACCGCAACCTCCGCCTCCTGGGTTCAGGCAATTCTCCTGCCTCAGCCTCCTGAGTAGCTGGGATTACAGGCACGCACCACCATGCCCAGCTAATTTTTTTGTAGTTTTAGTAGAGACGGGGTTTCACCATGTTGACAAGGATGGTCTCGATCTCTTGACCTCGTGATCCACCCGCCTCGGCCTCCCAAAGTGCTGGGATTACAGGCTTGAGCCACCGCGCCCGGCCTTGGGAGCAATCTTAAGTAGTGAGCCAAGATTCCACCACTACACTCCAGCCTGGGCACCAGAGTGAGATCCTACCTCAAAAAAACAAAAATAAACAACAACAACAAAAAACCATGGGGAAAAGGTATAAAGAGAACAATAATTCAATGTTGTCCTCAACAAGCACTTCTGAGAGGTTTAAAGATTGTGTACTCAGTAGGCCTTTAATAATTTGCTATATCCACCCTGGACTGCCTCATTTGGAAAGGTAGGAGACAACCTTGAACCCTTGCTGCTTCTCTCCCACGCTGAATTTAACCTGTGTTGTATTCCTGTGCACTGTCCAGCTCATTTCACACCACTGTATCACCCATAAAGCAAACATGAACAGCCATATCTGAGCTGAAAAATAAACGATGTCAGGTGACTTCTCATGCCATGTGGGGCCGTTTGAGGAACAGTAATAAATGTGAAACCTTGGCCCGTGGGGACTTAATGGTTCTCGGCAATCTTGTTACAGAAACCACAGTCCCTCTGGTTGCTATGGGAATTAACCATGAGGATTCAGACTTTGGATAGGAGGGGCAAGTTTGTTCATGCTAAGGAGGTGTTTATTTTCATAGACTCTTTCTTGAAAAATTTGAATCTAGAGGAAGAACAGAAAGTTATAAATAAGGAAAAAGGTAAACATAAACAGAGATACCCACTTAGCTCTAGTGAAAATATTCCCATGGATGTTTCTTCATAGGGCCTTGTTTCTCGGTTCCTCAGGAAAGTCCTTTTCCTTTACTAACTGATGCCATAACTGAGCAGGTATTTTACTCAGGTATGTCCCCACACTCACATCCTTTGCTCGGGACTCATCAGCCCCAGCATGTTACAATAACTAGCAACAAACAGGCCTGTGGTATCATAGGAGCTGGCTTCACCACATGTTTTCATGGCATTAGCTAAAGAGTTATAGTCAAGAATGTAAATGAACCCCATTTTTATTCAAAAGATAGCAGGCTAACCACGCACCGTGGCTCATGCCTATAATACCTGTAATCACTTTGGGAGGCCAAGGTGGGGGGATTGCTTGAGCCTAGGAGTTCAAGACCAGCCTGGGCAACATGGTGAGACCCTGTCTCTATAAAAATTTTTTTTAATTAGCAAGGCATGGTGGTGCACCCCTGTAGTCCCAGCTACTCAGGAGGCTAAAGCAGGAGGATCACTTGAGCCCAGGAGGTCAAGGCTACAGTGAATAGTGTTTGTGCCATTGCACTCCAGGCTGGGCAACACAGCAAGACCCTGTCTCAAAGAAAAAAAAAATGGCTGAGCAGTCTGTAGAGGCAGAGCCTAAGCTTAGGGTATGAAGCTATCACCTGGGTAGACTAGCTGTTCCTCACAGTGGGCTCAGGTGTGGTACAGGTGATTTCCATGTTGGGCTCTCCTATGGCTCACTTATGATACACAGTATCTAATGTTTTATTTCTGCCAAAAAAGCATTTACCTTGGTGCTACTATGAGGGCCTCCTCAAAGTAGACCCTCTTATTTAAAAGGAACCTTTCTTTGAGATCAAACTGGTAACCTGAGGATTGCTGTTGGCCTCCTGGTTTGGGGTCCTAACTCCACCCGCAACAGGGTGGTCGTAGGACCCTACAAAGGTCAGTTCCCTCCTTTGCATCAGTTGCCTTCTGCATACTGGCAAAGACAGGAGGGATTTAAAGTGGGTTGCGCTCCACAGAGAAAGATACTTTAAAAAACATTAGAAATAATCAGTAGAAACACATCCATACAGGATAAAGCCAGGTCTTTTTCTACATTGATCTAAAATCATTGGGATTTAACACTATAATTTAAACCCAAGAATGATAAATTGACTTTTCTTCTTTTCTCTTTGGTAACCAGCCCACAAGTGTAAGGAATCCAGAACTTGAACGAAACGGACTCTACCCAGCCTACACTGGACTGCCAGGATCACGGCATTCTTGCATTTTTCCCGGACAGTATAATCCATCTTTCATCAGTGATGAAAGCAGAAGAAGAGACTACTTTTAAGTCCAGGAGAGAGAGGGACTCATTGCTCTAAGCCAGTCGCCTGGGACCTCTGTGGCTCAGAGGACTGCACCAGGAGGCTATACCCAGGATTTGTTGGAGCCATGCTGAGTGGCAGGCAGGAAGAGGGATAGGCATGCGGGGCGTGACCACAGTGGAGGGGACAGGTGGATGTGGAACCACAGGCTGCTCATTCGGCACCTTTGCTGTTACTGTGAACATGAATGTGGGCCAGTACCAAGAGAGTCTGAGTGACTGCACCACGGCACTGGCACCAGGGTGGCTAGTAGCCAGGGCAGACCACTAGGCATCAGTGCAGGGACCTGGTTTTCCCTTCGTTTGCACTTTAGTAAATTGGGTGGGAGGTTTCCTTTTGGATCTGTTTCAAGTCTCTTCCAGAAAGAAGGCTTCCTTTCCTGAGACACTTTCTTAAGCAGCAATTTGGTGATTCCTTTGCCGCAAAATACTAGCTTGTTAGTTACTTTCGTGCCCAGTGCCTGTGTGCTAAACAACAGATGAGGATGAGCGTACCACTTAAATCTGAAGATGTTGCTGTTGAACGGACGGTGTTTGAATATGTTTCTCGATTGTCTTATGCTACAGTTTCCAAGCCAACCCTCACAATGAGGAAATGAAATGTGTGAGGCACAGCACACAACTGCAATGTGTTTTTTTTAAGTCAAGTTCTTAAATTTTATTTAAGATTTTTGTTTAAAATCTCTTTGCAGTTAAATCTCACTTTTTCAAACAAGCCTGGATCAGGGCAAAACAACGGATATTTGGTTTTAGCTGGAGGCTCGGGAGGCAGATTGCAGGCAGGGGGTAATTTTCATCCATGAGGGCACAGCGTGGGGCCTGGGGCTCTGACCACCACCGTGGAGGCCAGAGGCAGCTGTGTATGAAGGAGAATCAAACTGGATGCAGGTTTCAGCACTACAGGAAAGCAGCCTGGTGATCCCCTGCAGCTGGATGTGATTAGAGGGATGGGCTGAATCAGCAAGTTGGAGCTCCCGCATCGCCAGTGCTTTGGGAAGCTGCGGGGATTCCTGAGGAAGTACAGGGAACCGAGATGGAGCCACACGTGTTTGCTCACCTGCTACTGCAGTACTTTGTCCCCAGAATCCCGTCCACAAATCCCGTGTAAACTTTCAGCCACGCAAAGCTGTTTACTCGGCTGAAGAAGTCACTTATTTTTTCTTACCCAGTCATTTGCACCTCTTTATATGGCTGTGTAACGCTCTCCAGACACACAGTTATGCTTCCAGTCAGCGTGGGAGAACCGAAGACTTCCGGTTGGTCGAGGATCTGCGAGTTGACTTTTGAGAAGGAAGTTCATGTGTCTTATTTATTACTCCTGTGACGTGGGTCCTGCCAGGAAGACATCCAGTACTCATTGTCTTTAATTGCCACCTGTGGAACTGTTTATTGGCCGGCTTTGGGGCCTCCAGGTTTTGCATGAAGGGAGAGGAATACAGAGGTAAAAGCATGTCTCCAGCCTGAAGCGGAGCCCCGCAGCACACACATTCCTGGAAGTGGTGCAGCCATTGGGGACAGTTCTGCCCCGAGTTGGTTGTTTCTTCAAGGTCCTCTAATCTTTTCACAGCATATGTAATCCCTGCTCTTTGCATAATCCTTGGCCGTGATGGTTTTAAGCACGAACTCCTGTGTCCCCTGGTTTCCATCACTCACCATCATCCTGCTCTAACTAGAGCCCTGGTCAGGTGAGGCGCATTTTCGTAGTTAAATTGCTCTCATCCATGAGATAAATAAAAGAAGAGCTGTTTTTGTCACTAGAGGCTAACCTAAAATTTCAAAGCATCACGTTTTTGAAATCTTGGACCTTGCCTTTCTCTTTCTGTAGACCCAATGGCCCTTTGTGGCTCAGGGCCTCACACCTAACTAGAGAGCTCCAAGCTCCTGCAGCTCACCTGAGCTCACAGACTTGGCTTCTTGGCTCCTTCCGCAGCATCCCTGCTCATTCCCAGGACCCGCAGCTGTGGGAAGAGCCATGTAGGGAGGCTATTCTCAGGCATACACTTCTGCCGCTTTCAGCTGACATAGCAGCTGACAAATCATCTCCTCTGTTGGAGCCAGAAGCCTTCAGCTCTACAAAATGAAGTGTTCGGTCCCAAAAGCATTCTTGGGAAGAATCCCAACGTCCAGAAAACGCTATCCTGTGAGTTCCCAGAATGCTTTCTCGTTTATGGGTTTCGTCTGTATGGAGTGGATTAAGAGTGTTTTATTTTGTTGTTTTAACTGGAAAAAAAAGGAGGCACCCTCGAGGTTGAGTTCACATGGTCTCCACAGTTTCCAGGAGGTGTGTGGCAGGGGGGAAGGCACCTCAGGCTCTTAGGGGGCATGAGTAATGCATGGCTGTGACCCAGTGAGGAAGGGAGAGGCCAGTCTCATGCCTGCTTGGGGTTCCTAGCTGCAGAAGGGTCCCGCCTGGGCCGAGGGGAAATACCTGGTAGCAGAAGAGGTCTGGATGCACAGCTGGCATGCCGAGGCTGTCTGCCCAGACACAGTGCTCCATGGCAGCCCCGGCAGCCCCTGCAACTGGGGTGCACAGATGCCACAGTCCTGCACCAATGTCCCACAGCTGGGGGAAGGTGAGAGGAAGGGGAAAGTGATGCGTACCTGCTCAAGAGATGCTTAAACCTCTGTAGAGAAGAGCCAGGCCCAGGGGCACCTGTGTGTCCCATAACACACCACAGCAGGGAAGGGTGGCTGGCTGGCTTCCTGGCATCAGTGGTTTGGTTTAAGCTTTAGAGGGTCTTATTGCCATTGTGTTTTCCTCTGCCCCTTGAGCCAACCTAAGGCCCTGAAGTCTGTTTCTTTAGGCGGATGAATTGGCATGCTCCTACTATGACCAGGCTCTGGGCAGGGCTCCTCACAGCACCCTCAAGAGGTGGGCATGGAAGTGCCCAGTTCTCAGATACAAAAACATTCAGAGAGAGTAAATAACTTGCCTTGTAGAGGCAGGACTGAAACCCTCATCTGCCTGACTCCCCCTGCTGCTCTGCCCACTGTAGTCCCCTGCCTCGCTGTCTTGGCACACAGCTCACCATCCTGTGTACCTTAAATATCAAAGACGGCAAGAGAGAAAGGACCTTAAAAATAAGGTTTTTTTCTTAAGGAACCTTATTATTAAGGCGTAACTAATGACATGAAATTTTAAAAAATGCTGAATACCCTTTTGAAAATGTCCTTTCAGTTTGATTTTAACATATATTTCTCAGACACTTGTCATGAAGAAAATAGTGGCTGGTTTGTGCTGGCACGTGGCTTTGGCTATAGGAAGTGAAAGTTGAGGACCTGGGTTTCTGACATACGTACATGTCAGACATATCCATCTGAGGGCTGCTGGCCTTGTTCCCATGGTAAGGCCATGGCTTCTACATAGTGGAAGCATATTTTTCTGAAGCGTTTTCAGAATTGGGAACATATTTGGTAGAACGTCTTAAACACATCTTCCTCCTTTGAGAGGAAGTATGTTTTCAGAAGCAGCTAAATCATTTAGAGTCAAAATTGCTGATAGGTGGTTCATTCAAGCTGGCTGATGGCATCTGAGGTCAAACACTAAGATGTGACGATTGAGTTCTTAAAGAGGTAACTCTTAAAGTGGGCCCAAGGGAGAAGGCAGCATCTTTGGACTCTTAGCCTGGATGGCTACCTGAGAACATGCTGTTGAAGGATGACACCTATACAGATGTGAAAGTTCCCAGAGCAGGCACCTTCAGGTCACCCTCACACGTGGCTTTTTGGTGCCTGCATGAAACTGCCTTGCCCCCTGGTGAAGTGCCCGGGTGTTCTGTAAGCCGGTTTAACTTTGCCTGAAGGAGAGAAGCCGCCCAGTCCTGTTGCCCTTGGCTAAGTTTTGCCTAACACACCCAAAACTAGGGTTTGGACCCATAGTTCTAAAACACACCAATTTTGAGACTACAGCACTTCTTTGGAGAGAGGAAGAATGTACAGTTCAGTATTTCAGTGTTTTGCATTTTACTTGAAATTACCCTTAGTATCAGATTTTTTTTTCCTATCTGAAACATTTTGTGGGGATGAGAAGGGACATTTCATTTCCTCTTTGACAAAGTGTCAGTCTGAGGTTCTCATGCATGTTTCTGGAAACTTTTGTAGAGTTTGCCTTTGAGTATATTTTCTTTCTTTTTCTTTTCTCAAATCTCCAAGGAAGAGAACTGACTAAAATAGTAGGAACATTAAAGTATTAAATGCCAATTAATTTGTTGCACTAAAGTATCTTCATTAGCATTACACTCCATCACTTCTGATGTGAACTGTCACAGAAAAACCTATGAAACCAAAGGGGACCATTTAGGTCTATAAAGAGACAGGTCTGAGACTTGCTCTGTCACCTGGGCATTTTCAAAGAGAACATTTTGGAGAATTTGCGTATTCTGATTTTTTTTTTGATGCACTTAACACACCTCATTACAGATTTCTTGGGTGGGGAGGATGGGATATACCAGGGGTGGGATGGAATCAGTTCTGCCTGGGAAACTAATCTGACTTATTTACCTTTCTGTATTAACCTTGGCCTGTCCTGAAAAGAGAATGACTGTTTCATCATGAGTTGCTCTGAGTTTTGTTAATGTTTTGTGTTGCTGGATTGATGGTTAAATGAAGCATGTAGCTGGAATAGGAACTTTCGGAGTTTTTGCATTGTCCTGGATTTCTCTTTGTAAACCTTTAAACCTTAGCCCCTGATTGATTGTGTTAAACTCATTATGAGAATGTTATTTAAAGTTGTATTATAATTGCAACCTCCACTAATTATTCAGTACTGTAGCAGCAAAGTATTATTTGTAAGAATTTGGTTATTTTTATACGTATATTCACTATAAGTCTGGCGTTCTAGTCAGTAAAACGATGCAATAAAATTAATATCATTTTCGCTGTGTGTTTTCCTCTTACTAACAAGAAAGCCAGAACAGAATGCAACAAGTTATTTTTCAGGAGGGCATCACTTAAACAATGGAACAGTTGTACAGTGAACTTCCACGTGGCGAATGTGGAGGCTGCATCATTTCTGTATTCTCAGTGCCCAGCATTGGAGAAGTACACTTTTGATGATGGATAGACAGATGGATGGACAGATGGGTGGAGGGATGGACAAACAGACCTGAATGGCAGAAAGCCAAACTTAGATATAATGCCTGCTTTTGTTTATGTGAACTGGAGAGCATAAGTGACAAATTCAGACACTTACAATTTCCTCTTCATTGTCTCCCACTATCCCCTCCATGTCAACTCTTCATGTGTTGGAGGAGAGGGGAAAGTAAGCCTACGTGTTCTCTGTGGGGAGAATCTGCAGAACTTCAAGATGGTGGGCCGTGGACCTTACACTGATGGTGGCCAAGGGATGTCGCTGCCTGTCTAGATATACATTCATGAATTAATTGCTTCCTTGGATGCCTTGTAGGTCAGTGATGATGAGCCTCTCGTATGCTTTGTGGCAAAAACCTTGGCACTGGGGAGGCCACTAATGGCAGTGTGGGGCATGAAGGGGACCTTTTGGCTGGTTGGATCAGGGCTATGGCCTGTCAACCCAGTGGAGGTGGCCGGTAGCACTATCCTCTCCTGAGCTAGCCCCACCCATTCAGCTCTCCCAGCCCGGAAGCTCACAGTCCCAACTGAGGTCTAAGTTTCTTTATCCATTATACCACAGTTTCTTTATCCATTCACCTATTGATGGGTACTTAGGAACCCAGGACTGACACTTTCTTGTTACCGCCCAGCTTAGGCAGATATAAACATCACCTCATTTCCAGACCTTCTCTCCCCTCATACTAGTTTTTCTTTGTATTTTATTTTTTTTAATTGTGTAAGATATACAACATGATGTTTTGATATACACAGTGAAATGGCTATTATAGTCAAGCAAATTGTTATATATATCATCTCACTGTTATGTGTGAGTTGGGGGTGGAGGGGGTAAGAGCACCTAAAATCTACTCTCTTAGCAAATTTTCAACACACAATGCAGTGTTATTAACTATGGTACTCAGCCTGTACATTAGATCCCTAGGCCGATTCATCTAACATCACTGCATGTACCCTTTGATCTATTTCTCCCCAGTTCTTTGCACCCACCCCCCCACCACCACTGTTCTACTTTCTGTTTCTATGGGTTCGACTTTGTTAGATTCCACATGTAAGAGATCACTCAGTGTTTGCCTTTCTGTGCCTGGCTTATTTCACTTAGCATAATGTCCTCCAGGTTCCTCGTGGTCCATGTTGTTGCAAATGGCAAGATGTCTGTTTTTAATACTGAATAATATTACATACCACAGTTTCTTTATCCATTCATCTGTTGATGGGTACTTAGATTGTTTCCCTATTTTGGCTATTGTGAATAATGCTGCACTCTGCTAATTGTTTTGAACATAAAATGGAAGGAACTTCTGCTGTGCACGATAAGCTGGCCCAAGTGCCTATCCTACTTGTGCCTCTGACCTGGCAATGCAGAACCTCCACCTCAGGCTTTGAGGACCAGCAAGCAAAGAGCTAAAAAGTGGTTTTAGACTGTTGGTCTAAATCTCAGCAATGACCAATAAGCCATTTTCCAGCTGCTTGGGAAGTAAAAGGCAAGGGGTATAATGCATAGATCATGCAGGTCAGTCCTCTCCATTATTGGATATTGAAGGGCTGTGGCAGCTTTCGATTCCTAGGGCTGGACTGTGGTAATCACTTGACACAGTGAGCAGGAACTTCAGGTCAGAAAGATAAAAAGATGCCCGGGGTATATATATTGATGTTGATTTCTATTGACCCCATAAATACTTGCAGCACCATCAGCTAGTACAAGACAGTCTCCAACCATTTTGTGGCTGTTTTCCCAGATCATGATGTCAGGCCTAAGAGGCTGCCCAGCTCTTTGAGCCTCAGTATCCTGCTCAGTAAAGTGGGGATAATAATCATTGTCTCACAGAGTTGTCGTGAGGGTTAAAGGAGAGAACTCATAAGAAAACACTCTAGTGTTTCCTATGATTTCAATACAAACCAACATAAATATCTTTACTCCTGATATCTTTCTATCTTTCTATCTTTCTGACCTGAAGTTCCTGCTCACTGTGCCAAGTGGCTACCACAATCCAGCCCTAGAAATTGAAAATTATGAAGAAATAGCACATTGGTTCTCTTCAATAAGGCCCTCCAGTTACCAAAAGAAGGAAAGTGCCACCTTGGGAAGCTGAGGGGGGAGAATCGCTTGAAGCCAGGCATTCAAGACCAACCTGGACAACAGAGCAAGACCCTGTTTCTACAAAAAATTGTTTTAAAATTAGCCAGGCATGGTGGCTTATGGCTGTTGTCTCAGCTACTCAGGAGGCTGAGGCTGGAGGATCGTTTGAGTCTAAGAGTTCAAGGCTGCAGTGAGCTAGGATTAAGTCACTGCACTCCAGCTTGGGTGACAGAATAAGACACCGTCGCCACCAACAACAAAATAGAGGAAAGGCAGGTGCAGAATTGAATGTCATCTCCATGCTGATATGCTAGTAACTGCCCCTGAAGACCTTGGACTTGTGGTCAAAGTGTTCTCATCATTTCCCCTTTTTTCCTCCTCCAACCTGTTTCCTATATTATGGAGGGATTAATGGGCTCAAAATCATAAATTCTCTGGGGATAGGAACCAATCCTGTCCTTGTTAAATGTTATCAGCTCAGTGCCTGGCACCTAGTAGGCATTCACTAAAACAAAGAATGGTCAGACCAATCAGGCAGCAAAATAAATTATGACAATTAAAGATTCTGGAGCTCTAGCCCCTCTAGTACGTGCAGGCTGACGACTGGCTGATGGAGGAAAAATAGATAGATAGCTATGACATGTCACTGAACAGGAGCACTTAGCAAAGATCTCTTGTAGCAAAGCCCATGCAAACATTTGTGAAGGAAGCATCTTTAAAATACACTAGAAAGTCCTTTCCCTGGGGAATTGTGGGACTGTGTAACAGAATCTCACTCAGCAATTTAAAGGAACAAAGTACTTCAACAGGCAATGACATGGGTGAGTGTCAATGCATTGTGCGAAGTGCAAAAAGCTGGACACAAAAAGGACACAAAAGGCTTTTCCATTTACATTACATTTTGGAAAAGATAACACTATAGAACAGAAAACAGATGAGTGGTTGCCTGAAGGTGGAGAAGGAGATTTCTGCTATTTACCAAATATGTCCAGCTTTCTTCTTTCCAGGTATATGGTAGGATGTACTTTTCTGCCCCTTTGAAGTGTGGCCATGTGACTTGCTTTGATCAGAGAAATGTAAATGGGAGTGAAATGTGATGTTCACTTCTCTAGCCTCAGAAATCGCGGAAATATGTACTGGAATGGAGTCGTTGGTGGCCTGGGACACTGAGCACCTCAGATGAGCATAGTGCCTTGCTGACCAGAGTTGAACTGATATGAGAAATAAATGTTGTTGCATTAAGGGACTGAGACTTAGGCATCACTTGACTTGTTACTGCATTCCTTAGCTGACCCCGATGAGTACAGCTCTCCAAAAATAACCCTAGTTACTACAGTTCTTGCAAATTGTTTGATTCTTAGTTCAGTGCCATGAGACATTTATGTTATCTTTTTTTTTTTTTTGAGACAAGGTGTTATTATATTGCCCAGGATTAAGTGCAGTGGTGCACTGCACTTATTGTGTGGCTAATATTTGCCAAAGCTGCTATGTGAAGCTTTGTGATATGAGTGAGCTGTTGAACCAGAAGGACCTAGATTTGAAACTCACCTCTACTGCAGTGAGACCTTGATGAATTTCTTAACTACTCCAGTCATTCATTTCTGCCTCCATAACATAGAAGCAGTAAAACTAGAGAATTTAGGCGTATGCTGAGGGATTGAATGATAGGATGTCTCCAAAGTGTGTCTAAATTATAGGGTGCATCTAAGGCTCTGGCCCTAAAGGAAGCAGGCATGAGGTACTGTGTATTAGGCTCTGTAGAAGGCACACTTGAAGCAGCAGTCTTGTTGTATGACAGAAAAAACTAAAATATTAATTCCTTTGCCCTTCCCTCCTGCTTACTTCACAATTGTGCAAGTAAGGCATTATCACTGTGATACTATTATCATCAGTAATATAAGAGCAGCCAGGTACGGTGGCCTATGCCTGTAATCCCAGCACTTTGGGAGGCCAAGGTAGGAGGATCTCTTGAGCCAGGAGTTCAGGACCAGCTTGGCCAACATGGCAAAACCCTGTCTCTACAAAAAATACAAAAGTTAGTCAGGCATGATGATGTACACCTGTAGTTCCAGCTACTCAGGAGGCTAAGGTGGGAGAATCAGTTGAACCCAGGAGGCGGAGGTTTTAGTGAGCCAAAATCATGACACTGCACTCCAGCCTAGGCAACAGAGTCAGTCCCTGTCTAAAAAAAAAAAAAAAAAAGACAAAAGCTGTATTGGATAATACGTCATAATTTTATAATCCATATAGATCTTGATCTATATTTATCCTGTTAAATAAGTTAATCAGGAGCAATGTCCAAGTTTCCTGCCTCTCCATACCCATCACTCCCAGTGGGAAGTCCCTTGTCCCTCATTTCCTTACTAGTTGCTTCACATCTTGCACTGAGGCTAATTCCTGTAAAGATCAAGGGACATTATAGCCATCTTAGCCTGTAAAATAGGAGCAGCTTTCCAGTAACAGAATGTGAGACCTGGGCAGCTTTCTAGTGAGGTCATATGGGCCAGGGCTTTAAAAGTCCTGCCCATAGAGAGGGAAAGCTGCTGGTTCAGGAAGAAGTTATCACTGGGCAGAGGCCTCATGCATAAAATAAGTGGGGAGATTTTCCAAAAGCAACATTTACTCAATTTAAATGCTACCTCATTATTATGAGATAATGTCCTTTCCACATTTTTGGTAATAAAAATGTCCCTTACTTTATGAAACAATGG